CACTATTCTTTCACACCACATGACAACCTCCGTAAGTGCCACCTACTATTCTTCCTGCTTACCCCTCACCTTTCTCCATAGCTGCTTGCGCAAACTCATTCTCTCAGCACAGACAACCGTTCACGTAAGGTGCCACCTACTGTTCCTTCCTGCTACGCTCACCTTCTCCATAGCTGCATTCTAACTCATTCTTCACCACAGACAACCTTCACATAAGTGCCACCTATATTCCTTCCTGCTACGCTCACCTTCTCCATAGCTGCTGCTAACTCATTCTTCACACAGACAACCTTCACATAAGTGGCACCTACTATTCCTTCCTGCTACGCCACCTTCTCCATTAGCTGATGCTAACTCATTCTTCACACAGACAGCCTTCCACGTAAGTGCCACCTACTATTCTTCCTGCTACGCTCACCTTCTCATAGCTGATGCTAACTCATTCTCACACAGACAGCCTCACATAAGTGCCATCCTACTATTCCTTCCTGCTACGCTCACCTTCTCCATAGTCTTGATGCCTAACTCATTCTTCACACAGAACAACCTTCACAGTGCCACCTACTATTCCTTCCTGCTATGCTCACCTTCTCCATAGCTCCTGCTAACTCATTCTTCACACACAGACAGCCTTCACGTAAGTGCCACCTACTATTCCTTCCTGCTATGCTCACCTTCTCCATAGCTGCTGCTAACTCATTCTTCACACACAGACAAACCTTCACGTAAGTGCCACCCTACTATGCTCACCTTCTCCATAGCTGCTGCAACTCATTCTTTTCACACACACAACCTTCACGTAAATGCCACCTACTATTCCTTCCTGCTATGCTCACCTTCTCCATAAGCTGCTGCTAACTCATTCTTCACACACAGACAACCTTCACGTAAGTGCCACTACTATTCCTTTCCTGCTATGCTCACCTTCTCCATAGCTGATTGCTAAACTCATTCTTCACACACCACAACCTTCACCGTAAGTGCACCTACTATTCCTTCCTTGCTACGCTCACCTTCTCCATAGCTGGATGCTAACTCATTCTTCACACAGCACAACCTTCCCGGTAAGTGCCACCTACTATTCCTTCCTGCTACGCTCACCTTCTCTCATAGCTGCTGCTAACTATTCTTCACACACAGACAACCTTCACGTAAGTGCCACCTACTATTCCTTCCTGCTATCGCTCACTTCTCCCATAGCTGCTGTAACTCATTCTTCACACACACAACCTTCCCGTAAGTGCACCTACTATTCCTTCCTGCTACGCTCACCTTCTCCATAGCTGATCTAACTCATTCTTCACACACACAACCTTCCCGTAGCAGTGCCACCTACTATTCCCTTCCTGCTACGCTCACCTTCTCCATAGCTGCTTGCTAACTCATTCTTCACACACAGACAACCTTCACGTAAGTGCACCTACTATTTCCTTCCTGCTACGCTCACCTTCTCCATAGCTGGCTGCTAACTCATTCTTCACACGACACACAACCTTCACTAGAGTGCCACCTACTATTCCTTCCTGCCTACGCTCACCTTCTCCATAGCTGCTGCCAACTCATTCTTCACACACACAACCTTCACCGTAAGTGCACCCTACTATTCCTTCCTGCTACGCTCACCTTCTCCATAGCTGCATGCTAACTCATTCTTCACACAGACAGGCCTTCACGATAAGTGCCACCTACTATTCCTTCCTGCCTATGGCTACTTCTCCATAGCTGCTGCTAACTCATTCTTCACACACACACAACCTTCACGTAAGTGCCACGTACTATATCCTTCACCGCTATCAGTAATGCTCACCATCTTTGTAGGCGCTGATCAGGTCCCAGATGATGTCGGCGCGCGACCGGCGTCGATGCGCTCGTCGTTCGTCAAGGATCACCGGCGTGATCCGCCAACGAACGCCACGGCGACGACAGTCTGCGACGCATGTCCGCCGGACAGGTTCTACGCGCTCCTGGCTGCCAGGTCCCACAGATCTGTCGCTTCCAGCATCCTGCAGGGAAATCCAGAGACCGTCGCCACAATCTTCAATAATGCCCATGACGAAAGATTGGAGCAAGGAGATAGGACGCGAGAAAGTTAGCGGAAACAAGCTTAACACGATGATAGGGAGTGTTGCCGTGACAACCGTTGACCAATGACGATGAGATCACAGAGAAACTACGTTTTTATCGATGTGTGAACAGAAACGAATATTGTGCCTGCAAAACGATAGGGCGTATGCGTAACGTATCAGCTACCGGTGGATGTCCTCATCTAACTTCTTCTTGTTCAGGTTCCTTTGAGTTTCCCCATTAAAATTCCAAATGTTCTATGATTAGACAGCCTGACAAGAGATTGTTAACAGGACTTTTTAAAAAATCTCAATGCAATCTCTTGCACACTTATTATTGCAAGAATATGCCTGAACCAAGCCTTATTTCTCTGTAAGTGATTGCATCTGGCCTCCACTCGGGAATCGGCATAGTTTTATTTTAGCAATAAAAAAGCACTACGAAATATTAGTGATGCTTACCATCCAAAAAGAATATAATGTTGCGGGCAGATGCCAAGCTTGCCACGAATATCGTTAAAGCTGACTGTTGACATCCTTGCCGTGTATGTAAGCCGCTCCCTCTGTTGCTGGGTACTCTCCTGACAATATGTTACTGCCAAAAATAATATCCCAATAATATATATATATAGATATATGTATATATATATAACAAACTGAACTGAGCAATGGAGTTGGTCAGGTAATCCAAAATACATGCCAGTAAATTGCTAGTACATACGCAATACTTGTAGATGTCGACGGTTCTGATGCATGCAATCATTTGGACAAACACGGATTTCTTTAACACATTTTGGTATCATAAAAAGACAGAGACTTTCATGTCGACTGGTTTCATTAGCATGAGACAGAGATGCAACCGTTTGGGCGCCCAGCCACATCGAGTATATCTGCATAATACGCCAATATGGCTAGATGGCAAGGCGATCGAAAGACTCGCGGTTTTCTAACATCACAGCTAGCAGCTGTTACTATACTTAGCTGCATAACTTTTATGGAAAGCACGTTACGTATAGCAGCTCACTTACATTAAAACACGTTTGATTGCACTAGTAGTGCGAGGGCATGTCGTATATACAATAGGTGCGGGCCGTACATGGTGGTTGTCTTGTTAATAAAACACGTTAGATTGCACTAGTAGTGCAAGGGTATGTCGTATATATACATAGGTGCATGCGTACATGGTGGTTGTCTTGTTACATAAAACACGTTAGAATGCACTAGTAGTGCAAGGGTATGTCGTATATATACATAGGTGCATGCGTACATGTTGGTCTGGTTGTCTTGTTACATAAAACACGTTAGAATGCACTAGTAGTGCAAGGGTATGTCGTATATATACATAGGTGCATGCGTACATGTTGGTTATCTTGTTACATAAAACACGTATGATTGCATTTCACTACTAGTAGTGCGAGGGTATGTCGTATATACACATAGGTGCGGGCGTACATGGTGGTTGTCTTGTTACATAAAACACGTTAGAATGCACTAGTAGTTCAAGTGTATATCGTATATATACATAGGTGCATGCGTACATGGTGGTTGTCATGTTACATAAAACAAGTATAATTGCACTGCACTAGTAGTGCGAGGGCATGTCGTATATACATGCGTACATGGTGGTTGTCTTGCCAGCGCCGTTGTGTCCGAGGAAAGCAGTCACCTGACCCTCGTAGAACTTGATGCTCAGGCCA